TACCGACAAAATCATCCGCAAGCAGCATTCCTGACAGCGAAGTTTCCGTGTCCCCTACTTTAACTCCTTTCCGGACTGCCTCTACGACTTCCAACAGATCGTTGATGAACACCTGTAACACTGTTGGGGACAGCGTGCAACCTTGTGGGACCCCCTGATCAATGTCGAACAAGTTAGATAATTATCCGTCTAAACATGACCGCGCTTTTCGTACACTCTGTCATCTTCTTTGGCACTCTCCACATTTTCCCCTGATCCCGTACTTGGACAGTTGTTTCCACAGCCCATTTCTCCGTACGGTATCGTATGCCTTTTTCACGTCCAGGAAGAAGCAGTACGTCGGCTTTCCCGCCCTCTTTCTACCTTGTATGATTCTCCCTACCGTGAATGCGTGGTCTACGCACCCCCTCTTATTTCGGAAACCTGCCTGGCCCTCACTAATGCAAGGGGGGGGAGGTCCTTGGTTGACGTCCGTGTCCTTCCAGTAGGGACTGGTGCTGTACATGCGGTTTACCCCTTGCACCGGACTAGCAAGCGATACGGTAACCCCGTGTTCTAGTCCAGTTGATGGACTTTTGTGACTGTCAAGTCGTTTGGTACTTGAGAAAGGTGGTATTGTGATGTAGGATCGAGGCGATAGCGATGAGCCCTGGCACTCTTTGCGTTTGTGTGCCCCATTCGGTTCTTGGGAGGTTTCATTTCAAAGCCATACACACCGGGATGTGGTGGTTGAGTTGGTCAAGACTTGCGAATCGTCGCACCTACCTGAATTCCACGAAAGCGTGCGTTTACCGCAAAAGTCGACTTTCCCTTGGGGTTCCGACGAGAGATGGGCACTGGACAGGGGTCGGTGTGGATGGCACTGCTGTTGTAAATATTCACATAATATCTCTCTTATGGTCACCATTGTCATGTTCTCTTGTTCCCTATGTCAAATCTTCACATAAAATCCTTTGTATGGTCACCTTCATCATGCTCCCCTTGCTCCTTCAAATTAGGGCTCGCTGCTGACGCAGCAGTTTTGCCGGGTATCGTAGGGTCCTCCGATCCGTGTTCACACAGAACGGGTCCTCTCCCTGCGGTAGTTGAGCGTGAAGTAAATAGTGGTGTACAAGAGTATTCGCCAACATCACGCAATGTAAATGTTGACGTACATGAGCACCGGCCGGAATGTTCGCAGACGGCAATGAACGAGATGGCACAGAGGGGCAAGAAGGCAACGGACGCGGCGGTACGAGCGGCGCAGCAGACGAGCACGGCCATGCAGTACTTGCAAATGCAGCAGCAACAGCTTGCGGTGAGCACACGTTGCTGTCACTATGTGTATACGTAGATACCTCTCATTAGGGTTTGATGCACTGGGTTTCTCTCTGAGTTGTCTCCGTATCACCATGTTGGACCAATCTTGATGTCGCAATTGATACCGCGTGTTGGCTCTAGCACCCTAATGCATGCTGGGACACCGCTACTGTACCATCATTGCCCCCAACGCCGTCAGCTTGTACGGAATGACGTTATTTTATTTTATTTATTTTTGTCCCGCTGTTTCCTTGCCATCAAGTGCCAAGCAGGTGAGTTTCTTACCAGTCAGCTCTATCGGGGGAAGCATGACTCCCTTTTCGTTATCAAACGGTTTAGTTTCATGTCGGTTGTTTTATACTCCTATTTCGGGATTTTTTTTTTCAGGCATTGCAGAACCAGCTGTACGGGGGCCAGCCTTCCCCATGGAACTTCGGTGCTGCGTACCGTATCCCGGACACCAACATCAACCTCTCCGGAACGTACCAGCAGGGCAAGGCGAACCTCCAGGTACGTCGTTCCTATTTGGTTTTCTTCTTGTTTCGTACAACACGAAATAAACCCATCTTTTATCCATGAACGAAAGGTCTAGCATCAACTGGTGGTGGGTTCGTTGCGTCAGCCGAGCACTACCACACCCGTTTTCTACGATTCCCTTTCTTGGTGTTTTTGCAGTTGTGCGTCATGTTTCGCAATGCCAGACCCTGGCTTATCGAGGGTACTGCAGCGTCGACACTGCCCCCCTTTGCGCATTATGCTTAGCTGGCCCAAGTTTTCATGCTCGTTTTCTTGGAATGACATCTCCTCCCCACATTGCTAGTAAGTAATAACAATCAGACGTCTGTCAATCTGGTTAAGAGACATTCCGCTGTATTGATGTTCATCAGACAGATACTTAGGGTGCTGCAAGCTTGCTAGCTGTTGAATTGCATCGGCGCTTCCACCCCGTTGAGAGAAGTTGAATGAAGCGAGCACTTGGTGCCTGCCAACGTCCGATTTTTCTTTGGTCATTGTGTTGGTGGTTTGGCTCTTTGGCGTGCGTGCGGCTTAGGGTTTTGCAATCACAAGTTTCTGTTGTCGTCTTTTAGCGCGAGGCTTTTTTACCAAGGCGTGCACAAACAGAATACCCCAACTCTACAGCTTCCACAGTTCACAGGGTGGCATGTAACGTTCTGGTCTAGTATGCATTTTGCAGATTTGTACTTGTTCGTCGAGGTACGCTGGGCTCTTCAAGTCAAAAACGCGTCGTCAGCGTTGTGTGGGTGGTCAGAGCTTGGGAAACCTCACAACACAGCTATGTAGCAGGCAGCCAGCTATGAGTTGGTCCTGCTGCTTTCTTTTTATTTTCATCTTGCAACACCCCTTGTGACACTGCTGTGCTCTCATTTGTAAGCCTACGCCGGAGGTATCACTTGCGGGTATGTATGTTGACGTTCTTTGTGTTGTCTCTTGCTTCGTTCCGTTCCTTCTCTGCCGTCCAACAGATGACCTGTGTACCGGACGAGTACAGCTCCATGTTGGGAGCGCAAGGGTTCACGCACGGGGTCGGCCCGGGCAACCTTGGGCTCTCTGTCAACCTCAGCATTTAATGCAACCATCCGACAGACCGTAGTAGACGGGAGTTGACCTTCGCCCGACTGGGTGTAACGAGCAGCCTGTTTTTGTTCGGAGCAGTCGCAGCACTGACCGGGTGAGGGCGGTGGTGCTTCGTTTCAAGTTGGAGAATCTGACTTTTTCCGGCACGGCAACCAAAGGGTCGGCGCTACAGCAGAACCGGCCTTGTGAGAGTGGGAACGTCACGCGTTGCTACAGCTCTTTTCCCCGATGGGGGTTGTCTTCTGGATCGGGGACTCGGCGGGCGAGATGGCGGTTAGCGATGGTCGCTAGAGAGCATTGCCACCCGACCCTCAGGCGCATTATTTGACACACGAACGTACGATACCCCATGTAATGTTGTCGATGCATTAAAAGCAGTGGAGCGAGCGATGAACACCAAGCATAATTGAGGTGAAATGGGGCCGAGTGTAGCCCACACACTGGCGGTTGTTTGCATGATCAAGGAGATATTCTGTGTTGTCTTCTCCCGTTCCTCATTCTTGCGGCGATTGTTCTTCCGTCCGTACTGATTTTCTTGGTTTCAACGTTTGCCCACCGGCGCTCGGGAAAATAGTCTATAGAGCGAGAAAGCACTGCACAATGCTGTCCCGTTTGAAAGTAGCGGATGCCCGATCTCTGTTGTTCAGTAGTCGACGCGCGACGTCTTTCGTTTGTGCCGTCGTATAGTATTTGATGCAGTTGGGAAGAAGACCGCTGTCAAGGTCCCTACCCCATGCGGGGTTGCTTCTGCCTTTTTCCCTCTTGCCGGGTGTCGTGTGTTGTGCACGTTGTTCGGCGATGGGAAACCGAATGGACACGTGTGCATCCTGAAGGTTAAGGTTCCACTTTGCGACCGGCCGCTTGGGTTTTCACCCGGCCAGGCATGACGGCAACAGAGTTGGCAACGACTGGCTCGGGCCATGTGTCTTGCTGTCCTCGAGCAAACCCCGAAAGGAGGCTTATTTTAACGTAACGCGAGGGAAGTCAACGAAAAACAGGTACCTTGTGATTGGTATATCCGCAATGTTGGTTGTCTGGGCATGCTTACGCCCGATCAGAGCCAAACGCAATCAAGGCCAAGGAGTATCTCGCAATCCACCTTAGACCTCAGCGAGAGGCAATCGCAATCCAGTCACCACACTCCCGCCTCCATGAATGGGTTCATCGAGAAGGCAATCCAGAACGACTTGACTTCCGGAAATCTTTCTGTACGCTTGTACTGCTGTAGTTCGCCTGCCCCTGAGAAGCCTTAAGGGTTGTCGCCGGCCGTACTCAGGGTCACCAATGGCCTTCGTCGCTACTGTGACGAGTGGCGCCTACAGGAAGAAGCTGAACATCAACTTCATACGTATGTAGTCTTCGCCACAAAGCTTGCCTTCCGAGTCTAATCAACGGTATGTGCATGCATAAGCACAACATGAAACGCAGGTCTCAAGCCCCCACCTCCAGCTCCTGCGGAAAACGTCAAAGGAAGATCAACGCGAATCCCCCACAAAAGAGTAACTTTCCCAAATAAAACGTTGCGTGCGATTGTCCGGCCGTACTGACGCCCATCCCCTATCGTGTCACCAATTCATCGTGATGCTACACACGTGTAGGCAACCTCATTGCACAGCGCAAAACTCCCACGGGCAACGACGGCAAATGAATACGCACAACGGCCTCGAACCTCGTGAATTGTTGATCATTGTTGACCACGAAAATCACCGTAGTCTCGGCCTACTTCCGTTCGGTTACAAGGTAGCGCTGAAGTCGATCGCGACCTGCTCGTTCGAGACGGCCTCCCCCTCTTGCTGCGGCGCTTTGTTTCGCCGACCAGCAATGCCCCTGGCGCGGGAACGCGGGGACCGGCTCGCGGAATTCTGTCGGTTCATTGCTCTCGGTTTGGTGGACTTTGGAGACCGGGGAGGGCTCGATGAAAAGCGATCGGGTTTGGCGAACTCGTAGGCTAGTCGGGCAGCCGAGTTCAGGAGCCTTCGTGCCGCGCTCTGGGACTTATGCTCGAGCTTTACTTGGGTGTCTTCAAGGCATTCGCGAAGCTGCGCGTGCACCAGCTGAGGGAGGTAGACACGTTGTTGGGGGTGGGACAAAGGTTTAAACGCCAGGGGCACGCTTGCCCGCACAGTAGAACATAGTCTGTTGGAAATTGCAAGACGTACATAGTCAGTCTTGCGTGCTAATTCACCCAGCATGAAGGAGCAAGGTTGGGTGAACTGTGCAAGGTTCACCCGCTCAAAGGAAGACGTCTACTGACGTCCGGTCGTGAGGATGGAATGTTTGGGGCTTGCTAATGGTAGATGCCAGCGTGAACGGGTTTAACAGTCGAGGGTTTAAACAACTGCCTCCATCGGTTCGTGAATGCCCGCACATAATATAAGCGCGACAACACAAAAGGTGCAAAATCAATTGCTTCTTGAACCGGTTAGCTTGTCACACGGTTCCTTTTCAGTGGTCGGTTCTGCTAAGCGATTGCGAGATCAACGCATGAGATTCGTCCGTTGGCTTGTGGTTCGGTACGAAATGTTCCTCGAACGGTATCTCGAAAGACGGCGGGCAGTCGACATTCATTTGTTCACCTTGAGGCCCACCAGTTGCCTCGTGACTCCCTGGCACTGCAAGTCGGCTTCCAAGTGGTCCTGCCTTGCCGTTGCCGCTTCCACGGTCGCGCGTACGAGTACGACCTCCAACTCCTCTGCGTACTTCTCCATGGTCAACCCTTCCACCAATCCAGTGCTCGCGAATTCCGCGAGTCCCGTCTCTCGGCCGCCAATTTTCAGACCAGCCTCCCCGGCGCCGACGGCCAATGCGCGGAGGTCAGAGACTCTTTGCCGCAGGGAACGGGAAGCGGCGGGAGACAGGTTGATGCTGTCGCCGTTGTCTGCCGTGGAGGCGGAAGCTGCGGCCGCCTCTCGCCGAGCGACGAAGCCCTGCAACTGCGCCACGCGACTGCGGTGCCCGGCCAATTCCTGCTCGTTGGAGCCCACCGAAGCCTTGAGCATCTCGTCTAACGCCTCCGCGCGGGTCTCAAGTTCGTTGGCGGAAGCTTGTGCGTCCACGGCGGCCGTCTGCGCAGCTTCAACCTTCACTTTCAACTCTTCGACTACCTTCTTGCTGCTCTCCTCCGACCGCTCCATTGCGACGCGGTGGGCCTCCTTGAGAGCGTCGACAGCAAGCTGATGCTTCGATTGGAGAGTTTCGCGGAGATTGTTGATTTCTGTTGCCGCCGCTTCTCGCTCCGCCTCGCGCTCTTCGCTGATGGCGGAGAGCGCCGCCGCGTGAGAGGACCGTTCCGCTTGAAGGGAGTCTTCGAGCTTCCTTTCGTGGACCACGTCCGCTTCCGCGATGGCGTCGGCGAGGCCCTTGGCGTGGACGTTGCTCTCGGCCTCCCGCGCTTCGGCGATTTTCCTCTGCAGTTCGTCTCGGTGCTGCTCCTCGAGCCTGGCAATTTCCGACTTCAGCTCGGCCGTCGTCGACGCGAGCGTGCCCTGCGCTGCCTCGAACTCTGCCTTTCTGGCCTCCTCTGCTGACGCAGCCGCCGCCTGCAGGTCGCGCAGATGGGCCGCCTTGGCGTCGTCCAACTCCGAGGCCGCCTTCAGCTGCTGCGCCGCGCTTCGCTCTTCGGCCTCTCGGGAAGCGCGCTGGAGTTCGGCAACACCGACTTGTTTAACCTTGCGCATCTCGAGCAAGTGCTTCGCAACAAACTCTGCCTTTTCTTCGGCCATCTTTACGCGGATGGCCTCCGCGGAAGTTTTGTAAGTACTTTGAGCGCCGGAAAGTTCTGCAGCGTGACGTTTTCCCGCTTCGCCTATCGCCGCGGTGTGCTCTTCGCCGAGTCTGGTGAGCTCTTCCTTGTGCGCCTCCTTCAGTTGAACCATCTTCTCGCTTATGGCTGCGATACGCTGCTCCGCCAATTCCGACACCTCTTTGGTCTTGTCTTCCGCCTGGGCGACTTCTCGGCGCAGGGCGGCGAGATCGGCCTCCCTCCGGTTCTCAGCCACGGTGGCGGCTCGAAGTGCTTCCGCTTCTAACCCTTGTTGAACTTTGCGCAGTTCGTCTCGGTGACGTGCGTCTTGAGCTGCGGTGGCCGTCTCCGTTTCCGACTTAATCGCGGCCAGCGCCGAAACAATGTTTTCCTCTGCTTTGTGCGCGGCTGTTTCTGCCTTTCTCTCGGCGTCAGCGGCTAAGCTATCCATCTCCTGCCTGTGCGCCGCATCACGAACGGCTAATGCTTCTCTGTGTTGTGCGTCTAGAATCTCCATCGCTGCTCGATGTTCGTTCTCAACCTGGATCAAGGAGAGGGACAGCCTGTCCTCTGCATCAGCCACCAAGCGGGCCACCTTATCGTTGTGCGTTGCTTCGGATAGAGCAAGCGCTTCTTTATGTTGGGTATCCAACGCCGCTATCGCGCCCGCCCGCTCGTTCCGAGCGTCGGATAAAGAGCGGGATAACAAGTTATCAGCGGCTGCGAGATCCGACGCTCGCTTGTCCTCTGCTACGGCTTGGATGGCCTCAACATCCACCTCGTGCTGCTTTTCTATCCGGCGCACCTCATCTCGGTGTTTCTCTTGCTCAGCTGCAAGCGTCGCTGCTGCTTGAGATTGAAGCTTCGCGAAAGACTCCGAGGCTCGAAGTTCGGCGGCTTCGACGTCCGCTGTCCTTTTCTTTTCTGCAGCCACGGCTGCAGCTTCGGCGGCTTCTCGCCAGCGTTCCTCGGCAGCCGCAACAGCACCTTCGTGTCTAGCTTTGGCCTCAGCCGCAGAGGTCTCATTCTCCGCCCTAAGTGCCTCAACGGCCTCCCTCTGTCTGAGCTCACTGTCATCGACAAGGGCTTTGATTTCCGCTCCGAGTCGTTCCTCCACCACACGGGTCTCCTCCCGGTGCTTCTGCTCCGCAACGGCTCTCGCCGCCTCCGCCTCAGCCCTGAGCGCCTCGGTCGCGTCCGCTTGTTCCACCTTGGCCTTGGACCTCTCCTCGTCGACGGCTCGCTGTAGCCTTGAGTCGTACTCTCTGTTCGCTGCGGCGAGCTCCTCGATGTGGGAGTTTTTCAGGGCTTGGAGGGTCCTCGCGGATTCCGCCTGCATCACGGACGCATCCTCGGCGGCTTCTCGTACGCGTGCTGCGAGTTTAGCATCGGCATCGCGCTGGCCCTTCTCAAGGGCGGCCTCGCTGGCCAGCCTCAGCGCGTCTAGCTCGGCTTCATAACGTTGGCTGAGAGCCGAAATCGCAGCTTCGGCGTCGGCGGCGTGTTTCTTCTCCGATAGCCTGGCCTCCTCCAGGCATGATTCTTTGAGGGTGGTCTCTGCGGCAGATCGTGCGGCAGCCATTTCGTTCTCGTGCTCGACGCGCAGCCGCTCCGTTGCCTCTTCGACCGCAGCCTTGACGGCCACGGCGTGTACCTTACTCAGTGCTTCGAAAGACCTGTCGTGCTGGTCACGCAACTCCTGAATGGCGGCTTCTCTAGCCTCGTTCGCAGCAGCAGTAGCTGTGGCTATTCTCTTCTGTATCTCCGTGTCCCGTGCAGTCTCCTCCGCGAGTCTTGCTTCGTTTGTCGCTGCTTTCATGCTCTCCTTCTCCCGGTCGAATTCTTCGCGCAGGCGCTGAATTTCTTGGGCTTGCCGTGCCTGTGCCGCCGCAGAACTCTGGGCAACGTCGATCGCATGTATCGCCCGTAACTCCGACAGTTCAGTGGCAGCGGATTCGGCGGCATGGGCTGCAGCATCGACCGACTCCTGTGACCGTCTCTCGATCTCGGTCCTGTGCTGTTCTAAAATCCCCGCCATCTCCTCCTGGTGAGATTTCGCCACTGCTAGGCGTTCTGCTTCCGCCGCTTCCTCCCACTCTGCTCGCAAGCTTTCCCGTTCTTTGACAGCTTGGTCTTTGGCTAGACCCACCTCACGCGCCAGCATCTGCGCGGCTTCTTCTCGGGCCCTATTCGGCAACACACAACACACATCCGCAGATGCACAGGTAGTTTAGATTCGTCTCCCAGCGCGGGGTACTTGTCAAGGTGTTTCTCGTAAAAAGTATGGACCACTTTGTGAGGCCACGCGAACAACACCACTGGCAAGCTCACCTATCCTATGCATCCAAACAACATGGTGTGAAGTCGACGAGTTTGGCCGAGGGAAGCAAGCTTTGCTGTTCTTTTTCTCGTTCTATCCACTGCCTACTGGCTCTGCCATCACTCTTCTCACCATATTTGGGAGTATGTAGGGTCCTCTTCTTGCCTGCCACTTCGGACCCTTCCCGGGTATAACGAGGATCCGTTTTACATTCTTAGCCCACAATGTTTGCCTCTACAAGCCTAGGCCGAGCAAGACGGACAGCCTAGAGCACAATACAACGTCAGTCGTAGATGATACTCAAACGAGAATATTGATTTGTAGGTTGACCAGCTAACGTTCATTTACATCTGTTGTTGTTCACCTGCTCATATCCTCCTCGTGTTGCTTCTGGCTTGCCTCGAGGTCTGCCGTGTGGCGATCAGCCTGCTGTTGGAGTTCTCTCGCGTGCTTCCGCTCCTGGCTCCTAGCCTGCTTCGCCGCCGCTGCTTCGAGGCTCTCTTTGTCTCTCCTCTCGGCCTGGAGGGCGGCTTGGAGGTCGTCGGCCTCCGCCAATGCTCGCAGCACTTTGTCGTCATCGCCCTCACGTGCTCTGTGGGGCAGGTTGGTAGGTGGTGGTGGAAGAAGGCGGTGGGATTTCACGTGTGATTCTGTAAATGTTCGCCTTTGTTCTGTACAGCGCGAAGGCTTGCCAACCTGCAGGAGAGAGAAGTATTGCGAAGCAACGAGTACCTGTTTAGTGTTCGCGTTAGATCTGTATTTGCCAGCCTGGACGACGCTTCGAACACATTCATTCCGTATCAACCGATTCCTGCTTCAGTATTGCCACGGTGAACCAAACGCGCTCAAGTGTATGCAACACGTTGGGACAGGTTGAAGCGAATCTCGGTCGTACTTTGTGGCAGAAGGAGCGTGAACAACTCCCGTCGAGATCACGTGTTTGTGGTGGACGTTCCGAAGATGGGGTAGATGAGGGTAGCGACGCCGGGTAAAAAGTTTACGATAAAATAGTTGGAATATTTTCTGGGTGTGCTTATGTGGGCATAGGGTGAGATTGAGGCCGTGTATTGCTACGCGTACACTCGCGCGACTTCAACGCTAGGAAACAACGCGGCCATTAGAGGGCAAACTACTCTCTAGTCATGGCGTTATTTTATCAGTTTCACATCTGCAGACATCGTTTTCTGTCTCGATATTTATTTGCAGCGGGAAAATGTTTCACCCCGAAGCACGACGAGTTCATGTGCAACAATACTGTAATAGTCCGTGTTCGGCAGCCGTGGCTCACCTTTCGAGCGCCGCGGTGAGCATAGCCTCTTTCGCCTGTGAGCGTCGATCGACGTGACATGATCATCGTGTCGGCATTGCAACACAAACAGACGAAGTATGAGCGGGGCAGTGCATGCTTCGAAAAAAACAAAATCGTGGAAAAGAAATTGAAAGGACCATGATCTGAGGTGTTGCCTGCTCCAGAGCTCTAGAGCTCCGGTGTCGTAGGCCACGAGTGCTACATTTCTGACACTAAACGTTGGTTGCAACAGAGAGAGTGAGGGATGTTCCTGTCGTTCTTCGAACCGGATGTTGGTCATGAATGCGAGGCTACACCTTTTCTCTCTCTCTCTACTACACCATTCGTTGGGGAAGTACAGTACACGGGAAGGGCAGGAGCTATCGGAGTTGTGTGCAATAGTACTTGTTCCAGCGACAACATCGTTACCGGTTGCCGTCTTCCGCAAACCGTCAAAGTGCTCACCACGTGCTCAGCGATGCCCGCTTCCTTCACCTCGAGCAGCTCCTGCAACGCACGGACTTCCTCCCTCAGTTTTCCAACCAACGGGTTGGCGTTGGCATCGTTTATGGCGATGGAATTGACGATGTCCTTTGCCCGCTCGACGTACCTTTTTCATTTGTGTATTCGTTTGGCGGCCAATCGATTCGGGGCGAGGGCAGGGGAATCGAATAGCGAGAGAAAAAACAATTTCCTTCGTGGAGTAGCGATAGCTTCCGAAAGAATGCACGATTTTCGAAGGCGAAGAAAGTTATTTCATCGCAACTAAGTCTGTCGTTGGAGCGGTGTTCAGTGAGCGATTGTCTTCATCCCCGTCAACGCCTCGAGTGACCCCTAGCACAAGAACCAAACACACCTGTCCCCCACGTCAAGGTTGATGAGGGCAAAAACAGTAACAATCGCAGATCGCCGACCCGAGCGCATTCTGGCGGGGAGGGAACGTGGTGGAAGACGGAGGCAGGTACCTGAGGGTGCTCATGGTCTCCTGATAGGCCTCTGCCACTGGGGAAATCGCGGCGAGCATGACCGTCTTCGAGTTTCCTCCGATGCTGTCCTTGAGGAGCCATGTTAGCATCGAGTTCCTGGACGAACAAACAGACAATAGGGCGTTTGTAGTCCTTTTCTAGCTCACATGAAGCCAACGCTCTCCCTGAGATGGACAGAAATATAGGTGAACTTCTACCATATACCATAAGCACTCCAGGAAGAAAAGCTACGACAGACTGGCGGTTTGGGCGGGCTCCGCCGACCGTTGAGTAGGGCATATAAACATTCGGTATTCCCATCGTCTTGGCATGTCTCGTACACTGGAGACACCCTTGCATGTCTCTCCTAACTCAAGGAAAGTTTCCCTTTGGAGAAAGAGGCCGTGTTTCAGAGTGTGTCTATGATGACCAATCTCCATGACGCCCTTCTCCTGGTACGTCTATGTATCTTACAGTAACAAATAGTTGGGAGTGAAATGGACGTTCTGGTTACATGCGTGGTTCTCAAGGAAATCGCATCATCGAAGAACCACTTTTTGAGATTGCAGTACCTGATCGTACGCGAACTTCATGGGTACATTGTAGGCAATCGTTCAGTGCAGAAGCCGAAAGTATGACGTGCGGGTTCTCAAACATGTTAAGATGTTGTCGGCGACCCGCATGGTGTTTGGGGGAATGATCTGGTTGATGGCAGGCTAGCCGCACGACACATCAACGAGTACTCTGGACCACAGCGCAATCTTGTGCAGCAGGTAAGCAGAGGGACAACGCTGTAGGCTGGAAAATAGCCTGCTTGGAGATTTTCAGAGTCGAAATCCTCTGTAGCTTGTTCGTTACCAATGCTGCCACGCCGCTGCGAATTGTCCGAGCGACTCACCGGTATGGAATAAAACTCTCGCTGTTGCTGCTGTTGTTGCTGCTCGCTCCTCCACCTCCACTTCCCGGCCAGGAATCCGCCTTCTTTGCCAGCGCTTTGATGACCTGCATCACGGGGAATCGAAGAATGAACCACACACACTATGTTACCCGCAACTAATCGAAACCGGTCTCAGTGGCATTGAGTGTTCCCTGCGCCGGAAATTTGGGCGTGAAACATCGTGCATCACGAATAGGTTAGCCAAAGAACTGATTGAAGAGACTGAGTATCGCGGATGAAGGAGCTTGAGGCGAACACGGACGTCCCACAAGGTTCAACCGCACTACCACCATGTCGCAACCGAATGATCCTCCCACGCCGCCGGATTCTACGATGCTGTTGTCATTCTCTCGCCGATGGTGGCACAAGCACGTCGCTACCTCCCATCTCGCCAAAAAGGTACGGCACTACGGAGTACTTGATGAGCTCTACCATGACGGTTTTCAGTATATTACTCTTACGTCGCCCAGTGTTGAGAGGCTCTTGTTGATGTTGGCCGCTTCTCGAAGCCTGTCGCCCTTAGCCCCGGTCGCATTGGCCCTCTCGGATCCGGCGAGGTCGACCAGGCAGATCTTGCTACTCCGAGAGCTGTTACGAAAGAAAATATATGACACGTATATTCGGGAATTCGCTCGTTCCTTACGTACTGGTTTGTTGCTCTAAGCAGATCGAATGTATGTGCGGTGTCTACGAAAACAAACTAAGAATGACGTCCACGTTTCGAAGAAAGTTTATGAAGCCAAGAGTGGCAGGTCGACCTACTCTTTAGAACTTGGCTCTCTCTTTGTACATGTCAGGCGAAACCGTTCTGAAATAATACCGTCCGTCGATACCTTCGCGCGGCGCAGCCTACGACACTGCAAGCCCTGTCTTCCCTTGCCACGCTCAAAATAGATGTGGCCCGGCGTTTTTTTCCCCTGGTAAAAATAAAACAGCCAAGTGCACGCGCCTTTACAACTGCATATAACGGTGTAGCACGAGAAGCCTTTCCCACCTGACGTCGTCTTCGGCATCTCCTTCGTCGGCTCCTCCCTTGCCTTCCCTCCCGCCATGAGAGAGCTTGGTGGTGAACGTGACGGTGATGTGGATGGTGAAGATTGCGTGAGAGCGAGAAGATACTTCGTTCATCGCCGTCGCCGCAGTGGCTCTGGAAAACCGAGGGTAACACAACCCGACGCGTGATGACAAGTCGAGGGAGGTTCAAGAACTGAACAGGCTGTCCACGAACCGAGTTTCAGGTCACAATCATGACGGGATATTTTATACGCTCTAGTCGTGCGTTGCGCTCTCCGTTCAAAAGCATCGCGGTCCGTTGATCTTTTCGGTAGGTTCGAACAGAACCGTTTGTTGACCTAGTTCCAAAAAACAGCAGCCCTCTAGATCGGACAACAAACGATCGCGGCGTCGCATGGCAGTATTCGAAAGCAATCAATCACCTGGCGGACATGCCGTCCTCGAGTAGCTGCTGCACCTGCTGGTAGCACACCACCGGCCTCGCCGAGAGCCCCTCAACGAACGCTCCTTTCGTGGGGTGCTCACGCACCCTCAAACCGTGCCCGCTACCTCCCTCGGCGAAGAGATCCCGAACCTGTTCGTTGTATATCTGCCAAACCACCAACACGTTAAGGGCATGCAGAACTTTGTAGTGTCTGCCTCCAGAGTATCTGTGTGCCTACAGGGCGTGAAGAGTACATGCAGTGTTGGCCCCAATTCACCGCGGTAAATAATTGCTTGATTGTCACGGGATTTGGCTACCATACTAGATTCTCCAACACCCACTAGTGCGGTTCTCGATACACCGCGGTGATCATTGCCTGCCACTGCACCACGGTAAATGGAGACCACGACTGAAACAAGGGCCTGTCGACACGCAGCACTTGTGCGACGTGTTGGCTGCAACAAATATTCGCTTTTGGGAGTTCAGCACAAAGTCCAACACTACTCGCAAGACAACGTCGAAGAGTCCAACGAAGAGAAACATCGTCCTTTCCAGGCGGCAGTCCCACCGACAGCTACCTCACCTCGCAAAAGGAGACTTGAATCGATGCCTGACCATTCTTCCGGAAGGCGTTCTCAGCAGCACCCCGACAGTCCGCTTCCCGACTGTTCGAGAGCCCACATCTCTCAAACAACTCAACGCAGATGCGAGGGATAAGGCCTGCCGTTCCCTCCCCGGCAGCCGAAGTTAGGTCCGAGCTGTCACCAAGCATGGTGTACGTCTTCCCGGAACCGGTTTGTCCTGGTGATGGTTTCGCCGGTGATCCGTGCGTGTTGGCGGTTGGGATATGTCTTCGAGCGAAATAGCTTTGTCCTAGGACAACCGTCAGGCACGTGTTCCGCTAAAAAAAAACACACACACACACACACACAATAGGCCAGGGTAGTACCAGGTTCCGCGCATGGCATGAACCATAGTCGATAATAGCTCAAAGGACAAGAGTAAGTTGATAATTTCAACAACAGCAGGCATTTGCCCACCGTAGGCGAAAAGGGAGCAGTTGAATCCTCGACAGGCGTTGTCTAATAAAAATATCCCTAGCGCTTGATGCACGTCCGCCTGGCTGGAGAAACGCCCCCCGCCCAAGCCCCGCCCCGCAGAAGTGTGGCTCCAGAAGCTGTGGTCAAAATTGAACGTCCGCTCCCTGCATGGTGAGGCAAAACGAAGCACAAAACGTGTGAAACAGAGAGCAAAGACTATACCACAAGTTTCAATGCGATCGACACATGTGCATGCCGTGTCAAACACGTGTATTCAACGTGAGGACTATCGGGTCCTACTGGACCTATCCCGGTCATCGCCCGGTTACACGCGGGCTCCCAACTTTGAACAACCACAATAGCGCGTTGTTTTTGTAACGCGTTCACTTATTGGTGCTAGTCGTCTCTCATCAACAACCCGTGAAAAGTGCATGTGGAAGGATTCCAACTGGCTCCTACAGTACCCCACTTGGAACTACATAGTCGAATCGGTCGATGGCAAGTTCTTGGACAACCAGAAACTTGTTTGTCCTTCCTTGCATCACACTACCAGCCTATGTGATAATACAGGCTATTATACGCACTCTTACCACATGCTGCGGTCGCCCGGGCTGGAGGAACCGTCTTCTGAATCAAAGAAGGCCGGGTCCAAGATCTTGGTTTGGTTGGCGGCCATGCTGATCACACAACGTTTTCCCGCTAGCTTTTCCTTCTCGGAGAAGGGGCGGACCTGTGCGATGGCCGTGAAGGCATACTGTAGACATGACACAGCCGTGACGCTGACCTCCGAAACAGACTAGCTTTTTGGAGTCTCCGTACACTCAACGGTGATATGGATATGCATGTAGACTATACAGCACTAGCTATACTCCGTATGTACAGAAGTACAGTAGTCTCTTTTTTACGTCAAGTGTACTTTGGCGGCCATACGTGCGGTCTCGTTGAGCGCCTTGCACCGGCTCGTTACGTGACGCTCTGATATCGGATAACCGAAGCACCCATATCTGTATCGCTTGACATACACATGTCACGAGACTGCTTACGAAGCACGAAGAAGAATGCGTGATGACATGTATTTAGCCTAGTGCATGTAGACTAGGCTAGTCGATGTAGCTTGTAGCGGATGAGCACGAAAACGAACGGGGTACAATATGCTCTCACCCGCACTGCAACTCGTATCCGCCCATGATTCTCGCCACCCTCCTCTCGCGCTCCCCCGCCACAATCGCTTTCGATACTTTTCCTACCTCTACTACCGGTCGATCCTGAACTATTTCGTCCGCTAATATCGGTGATTGTACCACGTAATCCATGCTGGTCCTTGGCCGAAGGACCTCTCGCGCTGCAGCTGCCAGACGGCGGATAGTTTGACCGCGGAGACGATACCGGTGTCACTCCTCGCCTACGTGTGATATCGGAGGATTGGCCTTGATTTCTACCGCTGCCATGAGCCCCGCCCCACCGAGGGGACCCGGGATCTGGTCTACCGTCGATGTTCCTACCGACCGAGGAAGAAGTAGGTCTTGGCATCGTGTACCGGTGAACAGCCTGGGGCTTTGATGTTCTATTCCATTGGTGCCCTCTCGGGGCGGAAATAAAACCTCGCGGCTAGAGAACTATAGAGCTGCAAGGGTGTGTGGACAGTACCCTTGACAGTACCCTTGCATTACTGGTTGTACAAGGTAAGATACGATACACGCACGTACGTGCGCGCAGCCTCGGAGACAGCGGTGGGATTGGTATCGTTTCGTTGCCGGTATCTACTGCGGTACATACATTGCGGGAGATACCAAACCTCCCAGACTGATTTTCAAAGCCCGTGTACTCCACAATGAAGAGAGTGCCAACATCACACTGCACGTTCGTGAAAAGCTCTCAACATGAAGGCTCCAACACCACCATGGTCAGCCTAGTCAGAGTTTTTACTGTGGAATAATCGGGCTCTGAAAATAGGGGGGGGGTGGTATATTATGCAAGCTTGTTACGTGTGGTCGAACCGACACATCGACAGTGCAATCCATCGATTTCTCCCTCTCTTTTGTCGCTCTCTCTCAAGTATGCCGCCCCTTCATCAGATACCCATTCAAGTAGGGGGTGGTCTATGCCAACATTGCAGCCAGACGTTTGGCAGAACGATTGCCTAGGGCATCTGTCAAGCAAGGCCAGGCAGCTGGTAGCTGTAGATCGATATCCCACTTTTCACCACGATTCGATTCGCTGACCAAGCCGGTGAAGCCTGACCAGAAAAGATATTGAGACGCCCGTTGAGATCCTGGCACAGGTGGTGCATATCGGCCAACGAATCATCAACAGGAGAGCTTTTGAACACGGCGCCACTAGCAGTGCCCACTCGGAGGGCTGCCGCGGCGACCGAGTCCTGAGGGAATCGGCAACCGCTTATCCGTCCGGCGCCAGCTTTGGTGCTACCTTGTCCGCCTAAGCGATGAGTGACCTAGGCGGGCAAGGCAGGGCAGACGTGGTGGACCTCGCCCCTACTGAGGCGGCCAACAATGGATCATCGTCTCGGACAGGTTCCGCGACCTCTGTTGCAGCAGATCCGAAGCAACCTTTCGCGGACAGTGATGCCGACATCCTGGCTGGGCAAAGGCGGGAGTCTAAATCTTCGTTAGCGGCACCCTCATCAGGTGGGAATGATTCCATGGGCTCTTTGCCCAGGGATGGAGAAATTGGAGGGGCCAGCTCAATAGCAGGTGCCATTCGAAAAGAGTCCTCGGCCAGCTTTGCAGCTGTGGCCGTCGTAGAGGGTGAGGCGAAAAGCTATATGGATGTGGTGGCGTGGATAAAGGAGCATTTGGTCCTGCCAGGGTTTGTACCAGAAAAGCACTGGCGCCAAGAACACGACGAGGTTAGTCAAAGGTGCAATGTGAGATGTTTGTAGCCTTAAAATGCAAGAAAGACCTGCAGTAGAACCACATCAGGGTTTATCCACCATCTGAAATCCTGCGGAGTAAAGGGACTGTAGCCTCGGCGGAAATAACCGCTCCGAAAAACGTTGACTACTGTCCTGCTCTACGTGTTGTAGGTGAAGTGTATCAAGGTTTTTTGTACAATCTCCGATTGCCATGCCTTTGCTTCTTACTTTCCACCGGCCCGTAAGGAGCCACCACCCTTGCTGCATGAGAAGCGAATGTGCACAAAGATTGGGTGCAACTATTGCAATACCTGTGGCGATAGCACGTAACATCCCCCCTCGCGCTGTTGTCTCCGGCCAGATTGTGATCGACTTTGCAAAGGGCGAGTCTGGCTTTCGTCTGTTTGCCGCCATTGTAGGGGACGAACTCGTGGTGGCAAGCAACCCGGCCAAATTCACTTCCCCGGTGAGTGAGGGAACGCCGGCCTACCCTGACGTGTCGAAAAATCATTCCAGGTCCAGCATGCAGCTGCTAGCGCTGCACATCGTACACAACAAGTGTTTAACACTTTCCAGTACTACTGTACAGGTGTTGCGCGAGTACAACAGACGGGCGTTGTGTCTCGTAGCGAACATGTAGTGCTGAGGAGAAGCAAATCCAAGATCAACCCGGAAAAAAACTAAAACCGTAGTTAGCTCACTGTATTCCTGCTGGCTAAGACATCGCTCTATGCATCGTAATGATGTTGCTAAACCTGGGTGTCGTTGCCGTCGATCACTCGTTCTCTTTATTGCTCTTCTTGAAGGATTGGTCAAGCAAAGGCCACCGAACGTTAAGTGGTTGAAAACTATGCTGTTTTATTGCTCGCTTGCAGGAAGGAATTTCCATGCCCAAGGTGGCCAACTACTTCGTTAGGCCAGAAGGAGCGACTCTTACCCCGGCCACGTTGAAGGATGTTCAGTATGGTGAGCAAACCGATTCCACGACAATTCCGAGAGCTCGTGCTATCGCCGGCCCTCATATTGGCTGTCGCTGTTATTGTTGTTGTTGTTGTTGTTGCTTCTGTTGTTATTGCGACCTCCGGTGGGATTGGTTTGCAGCTGCTTCGTTGTTGGTGCACGGCGGCCTTCAGTGAGTGAACATCAGTTCCAACTGTGTTTCCCTTGTCCCAGTCCGCCAACCTTAACCCTAACCCAAGTACATCAGATACCACCGATGACGATGCCCTCGCGTCGTGTGGAGTTACTAGCAGTTTAAGGCGGCTCTATTTTCAGGGCACCGATATAAGCCATAGCAACGTATTTGAAGCTGTACAAATGGTCAGGATAGCCTAATGACGGATGTGGTAGTCATGCGGGCGACAAGGATCTGCACATAAAATCGTTGATGTACAAATAAATCGTTTTCCATGATTCATAGCAAGTCAATATCTCACACTCCATCCAGACTGACAAGAAGTTCATTGCCATTTCCTCGTTGTCTTTGGCGACCTCGAAGGTCTTATAAGCGGGCAGGCGGTGCACTCTTTGCTGCAGCTTCTACACGGCGTCTTCTCTCCAAAGTGAGGACTTTCCATCGACAATGATTATCTCCATTTCAACATCCTTGGAATCCGACTACGTCGTTCCGTCTGCACGTCCGAAGCAACGGCAGTTGTAAGCTTTGCGAGTACGACCTGTGATCCCCTGAAGGATGTAACGTGTTGTGCCAGCTACTCAACCTTTGCCAACCGCAGAGACACTGAGCGGGTCGCCCCGAGGACAGTACGAGGGGGCGGGGGTTGCCTCGAGTGTAAAAAACACAAGGGAGGATTGAACTCTGCTGCTCCTATTGCGCTGCCAACGGAAGGATCTACTCGCTTGCTTTGCCGAGGCGCGATCTATCGTTTGCAAAAAATCAAGACAAGCCCGGGTCATCCTCGTGTTTTTGTATGTTGTTCATGGGGAGGTGAAACCGCGGTCACCTAAGGATTGTTGTGGCGGAAAAGCTCTTCGAAACAGAAGTCATGAACCCTGCATCGATTTTGGAGAGGTTCTACAGCAGTCTGTCTGACTTTCCACTTCTTCCCGGCAGTGGCTCTCATGAGGTTGACCCTGCTCTACCCTGCGCCCCCCCGGTGCTGACGCCGACGACATCAAGTACGTTGGGCGATGAAATCCACAGAACTATGAACATCGCATCAACTTCCTTCTCCCGCCTCTTCTCTCCCGCGATCAACCTTTCCTCGCTCATCCCGTGCAATCGGTGTATTCGAATTAACCCAGAGTGTTCAAGAGGCAAGTGGGGTGGCCGGAGAGCGTGAAGAACGACCTGACGGGTCACTTTCACCGGTTCATGGCATCTCTCGTTGAAATGTCGAACCAGGTCAGGGAGAGCGGATGGTGTCTTAACCGTGTCGCCGAGAGATGTGACAATGACGCAGGGGGGACTGAAAGTAGACTGCTTGGCCTATATCTGCAGGTTATGAGGGTGAGAGTATCTCATGGCTTTTCACGCGTCACCGGCGGCAGCTTTAGAAAGCACAGGTGCAAGACAGGCTGCAAGCGTCAGAGGTAGTGACGGGTTTCAATCAACCGTGCACCTCGATGTTCCCTCCCTCCCCCGGGGGGACAATGCATGACTTCGTCCCGTAGGCGCGTACGTTAGGGGCATACCTGAAGATACTTAGAATTTAGCACTCGAGGGTCTTGCCTGACCATTTTCTGGATACTCGTCCGCATTCCGTCCGCTTTGAAAAATTTTGCCTACCGCAGGCGAAAGGGAAGACGGTCATGTACCTCCCGGCGGACATGATGGAGATCGGCGAGATATCGGTGGCGGCCAAGGACAAAGTAAGCTCCAGTGTTGTGTCGCCCCTCTGGGCTTGAGGAGAGAGTCTCAAATTAGTTGAATAGGCTCTATGCCGCTCTCTTGGTTGAGTGCTCTATTCGAACACCGCTTTTGCCGCAGTGCGCTACTTCGTGGACCGGGAGGCATCCATGTTGTGTGATTCACGTGCATGGCCTCGGTATTGCCGCAGTTCGAGCGTATTGGTCAATTATCCAACCCAAACAAGCACCTAACCCTACACCTAGAAGTAATGCCCGACTGAAGACTCCTGACTACGTACAAAAATGTCATTTGTGCCATGCGATTCTTCGCTAACGACTAGCGGACTATTCCGCTCATTTGCTGCAGGACCTCGTTCAGCACCTGGAGAGTATTGTGATTCACTGGACGCGGCAAATCAAAGACGTCGTCAACAACCACGACAACGCTCTGAGCGCCGAGATTCTCGGCCCCCTCGAAGAGATAGAGGTAGGGGTATAACAAGCTACAGCGTTGTTGAAATGACCACTATGGAGGAGAAGTGAAGTACTGTACCTTGATGACCCGTCCCGACACACCCGCTGTTCATGTTTTGTTGTTACTTTTCAATGGTCGGTGTCCTTGAGGTAGAACATCAACCGACCTGATGTAGATTGCAGTAATAGTCGCCTCAACCGAAGCCCGTCACCTTTGCGTGTCCATTTGCCAGTTTTGGAGATGCCGCATGGTGGACCTGAGCGGCATATCTGAGCAGCTACTCAGGCCGGACGTCCAGGTGCGATACACGTATTGGGTCAGATGGGGTCGTGGGGTGAAGGCACACTGCATGAAATCAACATTGGAATGGAAGGGTTCACGACCATCGATGTCTGAAGGCCCCCGGCGGCCTAAATATTATCGTGTTTCCGTCTTCGTGCTACCCTGCACGTTTTCACGACAACGGGTGATACGGTTTCCGCACTAACCCATTCCAGGAACTACAATCGCTTTTTCCGAGTCTCGCACAAGTAACAAACAATGCTCCTTCTCGGTTTCGGTTGGTCAGGTAGTTGTATCGATCCTTGATACCGCCAACTCGAGCTACTTGGCGCCGTTTAATGTGCTGAGCCAGAGGATCAAGGAGGGGAGCGTGGAGGCCAACAACAACCTCAAGTTTCTTGAAAGCATCACCACCCCTTGTCAGAACGTGAGCGGCTTTGAGCATTTTCCTTCAAAGATCGATGTATCCGTAGGTCATGCCGAATGGTCACTTGTTGGTTCACGGTGCCGGTTAGCCTGCCGTTTGCTAACGTGCACGGTTTTACCGGCGATCCGACCAAGTCTTTTTTCGACTCGTGGTCATAATGGTCGAGATTTGTGTTGGTCGTTCCAACGTCCCGTACCTTCAGCCTACGGATCTGTCAAAATATGGTCGATATTGTAATTTCCCTCTCTGCATGTCTCGTACGAACCCAAACGTACATTTTCAACCAAGTGTATTCAACTGCAGCTGTGCGTGATGCGGCCATCAAAGTCGTTGAGGTATTTCTCTGTCGCTGCACCCTCTTCCAGAATGCCCCCCTATTTCACACTATGAAGAGGAGAGACAAATGGCGGGCAAGCACCATATCAGAAACGTACCACACGTTGAGCAGGCGGCGCACCATCCGGTGATAAGGTGGAAGAAGTGACAAAAGCTCTTCTTCAAGTAAGAAGAACAGTGATCCGTGAGAGAATGACCAGTGTGGAAGGGCTAAGAGGCAGAAAACACAATGAGCCCCTTTCCCCACCCATTTCCATTCGTTCGCCCGCGCCTGTCCATTCTGGGGCAGTTGACGATGGCGAAGCCGAAAGAAATTCCGGCTCTACTTCCTGATCTGTTGAGGTGCATACGCATGATCTGGAACCTCAGCAAGTTCTACAACACAGAGGAGAGGTTGACGGGGCTGCTCAGGAAGATATCAAACGAGGTCAAAGGAGTCGTGTTGTTGTCGTTGCTGTCGTTGTTGTCGTTGTTTTGTTTTTGTTGTTGTTGTTGTTGTTGTTGTTGTTGTTGTTGTTGTTGTTGTTGTTGTTGTTGTTGTCGTCGTCGTCGTCGTCGTTATTGCTGACGATTTGGATGTTGTTAATGTTGTCCTCGTCGGTCACCGTCGTCGTCGCGGTCGTCGTCATTCTCATGGCCATTATCGTCACCGTCGTTGTACTCTCTCGTGATTGATGGAAGATCCAAAACAGTTGGATAACGAGCAGTCGCTCAGACGTATGTCAAAGCGAAATTGGCTGTCAGGAACGAAGCATTTTATGGGTAAGCTCCCCGGGTAGCGTGCTGCCTACATCGCCTGGTGCGACTACTTGACCGAATCCTGCCAAACCCTTGGAACAATGCTGGTTGGCCTTCAAACGGCAGATAATCCACCGGTGCTGCGCTGAAATCGACCTGGGGGCTATCTTCGACGGCGATATCGACGCGGCCATGACGGTTCTCAACGAGAGTCGAGCGTGTGGTGTTGAATGGAAGGTGTGTTTGAACAACCTGTGTAGTGTTGTGCATCACCCGTTGTCGTCCGTACAACACCGAGGCTGTTCTGTCAAGCGTTAACATTAGGTTAGTACGGCCTGACTTAAGTGGCTGTGTTGGTATTTGGGTGTCGTCAGTTAAATGCCTGAGTCATGGTGTTTAGGTGCTTGCTTTAGTCCCTTTGCTACGTCCGAACTCGACGAACCGGAATTTGCATATCTGCACAGGCGGTGTATCGGCGAACGGCACTGTTGGTTCGAAGAAGCACTCCCGACCCTTCGCGGCATTGGGACTTTGACGAAGCCTCCATTTTCGCACAGGTGACTCCGAAAGTCCATTCTTGGTCCGTTTGGGTCGACGTTTGACACTCGTGATGGATGCAACTTGAGGCCTTTAGATTTGTGGTTGGGGTGTGTTTTGGGTGTATGATGAGCCCAATCGTACCACAAGTATATGAGCCGTGTCCATAGGATACTTGTGTGTCAATCGCTGCTTGGCGTATTACACAATAGCTGCTGCCCAACGTCTCCGCCACCTATTTCCCTTCCTTTTGTTCATTCAAGAATCCACTCCCAAATAATGACATTCCTTCAACAGCCCGACTTGTGTCGACAGTGCTTGAAATAAGTTGCAACACTGCTCTCTTGTCATTATAGATCGACGCCTTTGTCCAGCGGTGCTCGGAGCTGCTTGAGGTTTGCGAGAGTCAGATACAGCTGGCGAGGAAAACGATGGGAGAGGGTGGGGAATCCGGAGGACTGCCGGAGTTCGGAGGAACTCGAGGGCAAGAGGTACTGATCCCACCCTTGCGTTAGCCCTAACCCTAGCTCTAGCCCGAACGTACCGCTAAGTAGGCTCGGGATGAGGAGGTGCGGTAAGTTCGGGTTCAGCAGGCACCGTGGAGCCGAGCCGAAGACATCATGCCTGCGCCAGATTTGGACGCGCTGGACGATATCGTGTCAGGGAGCTGAGCAGGCATGTGCTCTCGGTATTCCAGATGCCAACAACTCAAGCCCCGAGCAAGTTGACAGCTATTCACAATGTTGCCTGCTTTGAGCCCCGTAAGTCTCTCCCTCCTACACCGAAAGCAATTCAGTGCGGTTTAGGCAGCGTTTTGTCAGAGCCCAGCAACCAGGGTTGGTGCTACAATAGGTAGAGGTTCACGGGACTTTCCTGGTGTGATGAAACCGGGGATCGTGGTGATTCGCTGCGCAGCCCCAGGGGATATGGTGTCCAAACCGACCCGGTGGCAACCTAGCTCGGCATTGTGTCTCCAAACAATCATCGCTTGTGGTATCTGAGAGCCGTGGTTTCCGGTGCGACCTACGGTTGCTGGGCATGGAGTTTGGTTTTCTCCGAACGAAATCCTCCCACGTGATAAAATTGATTGATACTTGGGCCAGCAGATCTCGAAGGCCCTCCTCGGCATCCAAGACTCCTTCGAGGCTCAGATCGACAAGCTTCGAAACCTTGACTACACCGTGCTGGACGTGACGACGTCGCGATGGCATGACGACTACAACTCCTTCAAGGATGTCGTCAAGGACTTGGAGGTGAGACAGGCCGGCCGTCGCATCAAGTGTTTTATGGTGCGTTGATGCACTACGCGTTCATTCTGGCACTTCATGGTGTTTGATTTCGGGACAGTCATGCAAAAATTGTATTCGAAATGTGGGTGGGCCGGCATGGTGATGGCAAACCCTTCAAGGACCAGGGTCGTTGACAATACGATTGCGAAACCCAATTTTGAACAGTGACCATTCGAGGAAAATGTGTCCAAAACCGCGCGTTCTTGACCATGGCCCCATGAACGTGGAGGGGTTGCACTGGACTCAAAATCTAATTGTTGGTGTAGCCGCTTTCTTCGTGATGGGGATTTGTACATGTTCGGGGGTGTTTGCAGCCTGATTTGACTTTTTGCTATGCCGGTTGCGGTCAGTATGACAAGCGCGATGGACACTCACAACGTCGCTCGAGAGAATTACCATGATATGGGGTTTTATGGCCAAACTGTTGGAATAAGTCTTCAGCGAGTTCCGGCGTTCATTGCACATGTTACTGGTGCTTGTGGTGCTTCGATCGCAGGGTAGTTCGACACGTATCCATCAGCGATGAAATTCATCGACCGCAGGTAAAACTCTAAATCCAAACGAGCTTGTTTGATGTATGCGTTCCGGGCGTGGATCTTTTCCGCAATGCAGGTTATGTACACGAACGTCATCAACACGGCATTCGAGGGCATCACGAGGATCATTGATGCGGTGGCCTTGCTTGAGATCTTCTACACCCTCGCAAGGCGTGATGCCATCAAGCAAGCTTGCCTCAAGAAGACAGCGTACACCTACATGCTCTTCGTCAGGTGAACGAGGAATGCAGATGATGTATTGCGAGACACGCACGGCACAGGATTCGGCGTGTTTCCACAAAAATGTCCGGCAAAGCACAGGTGGAATCATTGAGGGTGTAGCGGTGTAGCCTGTTGCTTGTAGCACATTTCGGATTTCGGTATCTGCTCCCTGTTAAATGGTTGACCGAGGATGCGACGTTCAGGTTGACCTCTGCCACCGGTATACCGTGTGCGGTACGATCATGAATCCAACAAATCACGAGGTACTCCCCCTTCTCCAGATCCCACCGCTCCATGACCTTGATTCGCCGCCGCTCAATAACCATGGTGCAATGCAACTGCGTGATTCTCGCTCGGTTATTGTGCGGACGCTACCGCCCTTTGACCAAGGCATGTGGAAGGCCTTCGGCACGAGTTCGACGAGAATCGGCGGCGCCCTCCCCTACGTCCGAACGAGCCTCCCTTTGCCGGCTCGGCGGTGTGGGCGCACTCCCTGGCCCGGGGGGTAGAGGAGGCGTGGTCCCACCTCAAGAACTGCAGACACATGGCCAAGGTTTGTTGCGCTTCCTTCCCATTTCTAGTGGCTGTGATACCTTGAGGTACACATAAACTTATTTTTTTGCCTCACCGCTCCTCTCAACAGCTACATTCGGATTTTGGACCGAAACGGCCGACTGTCCTTTGCTGGACAACCTTGGCAGTCAAAACTGTATTGGTATTCTTGCAGAGTGGTCAACAACGGCGAGCCGTTCTGATAAAAAAGGGTCGATTGCACGCACGTGTTTTGATTCTATTGCGTTCCCAGGCCATGGCAAGCGACGAGGCGGAAGCCGCGCTTTGTTCGGGGGCTTGCAGGGAGGCCCAAGCGGCCTACACGGTCTTCGTTACCGTCATCGGCGACTTCAAGGCCAACAGGTGATTAATTGATTCTGTTGATCGACAACGAGCTCAGAGAGTTGCCGGGGGATAGGCAGGCCAGCCCCAAGATGTTCTATTTTTCCCCTGGAATCAAGAGTATATGCCAATGTTTTAAACCATCGATGAAGTGATGCGGTTTCGCTGGGCATTTCCAATGCACCCAGCTGACTCCATACCACGTGATGACGTGAGCTGACTGCTTGGAGAGCACGATCAAGCAAGACCATCCCATGTTTGTGCAATTTTGCCCTGTTTTGCCAGGGGCGGTGCCTGCCTTAAGCTCGTATCTCCCTCCACCTACGCTGTCGTCGGTCACCAACCAATACACCATCGTCAACAACAAGAAACCTCCCACAGGGTACTACAACGCTAACAAACTCCCCAAACGAACCCTCTCGAAGGTGATTGTCTGCGCTCATGCGGATTTGATTAACACCCGTCCTTGAGGCATTAGAGTAACTATCCCTTCCACGGAGAGACGAAAATTCTTCAGGAGCTTATTTAACGGCCCGAGAGAAGTTTACCACTCACAAGTATCTCGATGTGAAGGACCCACTTTCGAGCCTTGTTCCCGGTTTTGTCCTTCCTCCTTCTCTGGGTGGTATTTTGTGTCGCAGATACCAGGCGTGGGTGGACCACCTGAACTCAGTAATCGAAGTCATGCCGCTTGGCGCGAGGTTGGACGTACCTCTCCTGAGAAGGGCGGACACCGACCCAGGGGTTCAGACGCAGCAGCAGAAACAGCTGGCGGCAGGTGAGACTGTCAGAAAACTGTACCCCCGGAGGAAAATTATTGTTCCGAATAGGTTGTTTCTTCGTTCATATCTACTCTTCCGTTACCCGATAGGTACATCAGTCTCGTCGCGTTGCCGGTTGTATCGAGTTGCTGTCTTCTGAGCTTTCTCCCCCAGGACATGTCTTTTACCCTGCACCAAGTTCATGCGCACGTTTGATCAAGTTGGAAAATACACACGGTGGCACATGGAACTCAACTTCGAACAGCTGGCAAGGGGCATCAATCCTCGGGCCAGCCCTCCGCAGCGGCGGGGGTCGGAAAAGTCGGTGCCGGAACGGTCACGGCAGCAGTCGGTGGTGGGGCGGGAAGGGCTGGCCACCTCCACAACCAGGTATTTCGCTTGCACTGGGGATAGCCTCCAAAACGAGCGGAATGGACTATTCGTCGTATTTCCAGACTTGCAGCAACGGTTGCCGTTGTTCCGCAGCCATCCGTTGATATACTTCAACGGGTTCGAAAAGATACATTCCCTGCAACCCTGTCACGCGAGCTATCCGGTATAGCCCAGATTCGGATTCAGCTGACTCCACCCCCCGTCCCTCGCACATTCCGCATTGAACCTGCAGCACTTGGTCTGTAATTTTGACCTGGACTTACTCGCACTCTTCTCTGAGGTTAGCCACTGGGAGAAGTTCCAGGTGAGCTGGTCGAATCGTGTCTGTCTGGTCGTTGCTGTTGTACGTGTCGGTATAGTTGTCCAGGTTGCCGTGGACGTCGGTGGCGGGAAACCCTCAACAATTCATCATGGTGGCACTGCAAAGAATGTCAGGTGTATCAATCTTCCTCTATCGTGGCTGGAACATGGTTCTCCAAACTCTCATGCATGATGCGGTGTCACGTGACAAGCAGCAGATACGCCACAGCCTACTCTTCTCCCTGAAACACGCGTGCTCAGTTGGGTGCCCGTCTTTCATGCGCTGAAGCATGATTAGTGTTGCCACATGCTTGTATGGCGCACAGATCAATGTCAGATGTACGATGATCATCAGATTGTTGCCGATGCTGACTTCATGCTTCTGCAGGGCGAATTCTCGGTTCCCTACGCGGCCCACGACATTTGCAACCAGAGGGAGAAGCTGCGGGAGCAAAGAGAGCACGTCATGCTGGTGGTTCGGGCATACAACAGTGAGCGTTTACACAAACCGTGGAGGTTATCGCTAAGGGTAGGGTGAAAATTCGACGCTCATCCAAAGCCTGATTGGTGCGAAGCTGGAGAAGTATCGCTGGGGCAGTCAGTGCTAACGACGTAGTGCAAGCACGTTTCGTTTTTAATGCCACGATGAAAAGTGACATGTTTGTTTACATATACACCACTATAAGTTCTCCTTCCTTAGCTTTGTTCTGTGATCGCATAGAACGATAACTGTACGTTGCGCAGGTATTCTGAACGAACTGGACCCGTCTGAGCGCAAGCTGTTTTCGGACAACATTCGTCGCCTGGACAAACGGATACACCAAGGAATGACAAAACTTACTTGGAGTTCTAAAGGTGCGGCCATCGTCGCTGTGCCTGTTGCTGCGGTACCAATGGTTGCAATGTACTTGCTTACGAAGCGTAACAGGATCCGCAAAGTGGTTGCCGAGTTTTCTCTGAGTCGAATCAATGTAGGTCTGATTTGAAGGTGAGAGGCAGCACGCCCGCAAATCGCGACACGAGGGAACAATGCATGCATTCATAGAAGGGCACTTTTCAAACTCGTGACAACCGCTGGTGCTCCCTAAGCATTGTCACACCACGCAACGAGCGGCAAACGCTTTGCCAGAATCGCGTCGGTTGATGTTCTTCCCGTGTCGCAGCGTTTGAGCTTCTACTTGACGATGGACTACGGTCGTGCTGCACAAGGCACAAGGGTTCGCTGTAATTTCGAACAGGATCCAGGAACTGAGGAAACTCGCTCTCGGTCACCCCTTTCGCGCGACCCCCCCCCCCCCCCCCCCCCCCCCCCCCCCCCCCCCCCCCCCCCCCCCCCCCCCCCCCCCCCCCCCCCCCCCCCCCC